TAGAAGCTTCCTCAAAAAATGTTTACCTTCCAAAGTACATGACTTGTAACTGTTTTCTTTTCAGAGCAGCTGGTCACCTGCTAATTTTGTATAGTTCCTTAACACAATCCTTAGTCTGTGGCCCTTTCTGTCAATCAGGAAAGGGGCAGGAAAATGGATGAGTACCTTAAGATGCAACATCACATTTCAAAGGCCCACCAAGATGTCCCTGAATCTTTCCAGATTACAGGATGTAGAGAAGCAATCTTCTACCTGTGGATTTCTGGATGAGGTCATACAATTCCTTTGATAGCTAATATTGTAGATTGGGCAGATTGGCATAAGGTGTATATGAACTACACAAAATGTCCGAAAGCTGTGCATCTCCTTCAGAAATTATTTAGGGATTCAGTTTTTAAAAAGGTAGGAAATTAATCTGTAAGGAGTTTCTTATGAGATTTACAGGGGTGTTTACAAGGAAGAGGGAGCTGATCTAGCAGCTCACTAGGACCTAAGACTAAAAATTTAAGTTATTTTAATTCATTTGTCTGCTCTATCAATCACAGGTTTTCTCTGTAATTTTAGTAAAACACTGGACTCCTCCCTTTGTGTTGATATGGATTTACTGGTAGCATCTAATCAAACCCTCCAGCATCTCCATTAAAGATGCATTTAGTGCTCAACAAGCTACGAAATTCATTGCCCAAAGCCATATGAGAAATTTGCATGAGAGCTGGACAGAGGACTAATTTGTTCAGTTGCTGGTTTTCTTTAAGAAACGACCCTTGTTTCATGCTAATGGATTTTAAAAAACAAGAAGTGAAAGGCAATGAGATCATGACTGAGATAATTATTTAAATAACCTTTAACTGTAAGAGAAACAATAATAGTTGTATGGAAGCCTTCACTCCTAAGGAAGGCACAGCTCTTCCAAGTCCACCTGGCATAGTTCTTCCTCATCCCAGTTTTGTGGTGGTTTATTACTTTCTGTGAGATTCCCTCCATGTTTTAAGCCTCTTTAAGACCTTCATTCATAGAACAGACTGATTCAACACCATGGGCTGAATTCAGTGTGATGTCCCCAAGCACTGGGTAGGGTGAAGTAGGTCAGGCCATTTTCTGTTAGTAAATTTAATGGGAAACAAACCTATTCTGAATTCTTTCTGTGCATCCTTGCTGTGATGGACTGAAATCAGATCCTTACATAATGTGTTTTCAGAGCTGTGCTTCCAGAGCCATGGCCAAGCAATGCAGGCTGCATACCTCTTCTCTCCTCATCAGAGATGGGACCCTGCAGAAGTGGCAACTCGTTCTTGCCCACATTGGCTTCCTCTGTGCCTTGAACCTTGTGTTTGCTTTGTCTACTGAAAAAACACATTTTTACTACTAACGGCACTCCAGAACAAATAAAGCTGAGGCACAGGGAGTTGTTTTCTCCTCTGCTTCATCCACCGTTGCCAGTAGAGTGACCAGCTAAGGCCTCTATGAGCTGCTGGCCTCCCTCCCTATCCCAGGAAGGGCTGGCGTCATACACAGAGGCTGGATCAGGCCCTTTACCTCCGGATTTCATTTACTGCTGTTTTCAGCACATCCTGAAATAAACCAGTTTCATGGGAATCCAAATCTTTTTTCCCTCTGACACAGAGGCTTCTGGCAGAGCTGTTACTGGCAGCTCTTCCCCAGTCCTGCTATCAGCCATTCCACCAAGAAATTCTTGGGCCACAAGTAACTTCTGTCACCTCTGCATCCCTTGAGCTTTCACAGCCTTGCCAGGAGCCCAGTGCACCCCAGGCAGACACCTGCACTTGAGGAATCATGAAGCCCAAGCCTACTGTGCTCAGAACAAACCTCTGCACCTTCAAGAGGCTATTCCTCTGAACTAGCCTCATTCCAGAAAACATTTCCTCCTGCAGGTAACTCAGGAGTGAAAGGCCTTTGAGTCTTAAATTCAGCAAACTGCCTTCCACTCCTAGTGATGTTTCGACTCTTTTAGTTTTGGGGTATTTTATTTTGAAAGATAAGGTGTGGCTTCTCACTTAAGTCCAGGAGCAACTTTCATGCCAAGCTTCAGCAATTGCAGTCTATCCAATTCTAGGTGGAAGAAGAGACCTAAACTTCCATGTGAAAAAACATCCCATAAAACTCCAGCAGATCCCTGACTGACATTGTAGTAGCACATGTCACCATGAGGCTCCTTTTACTGTGTAGAGTGAGGGTCAGTTTTCCATCTTTTTCATGCCACTTATTTATATTTTATTTCTCTACAAGCTCAGGAATAGAGCAAAGTAAGAGTTGTTTTAAATTTAACTTAGGGAGTCGAAGAAGTTGAAAAAATAGTTATTTTTTAGGAAAAAATACTCAAACTGGGTAATACGATCTCTGTATTATTTCCTCATTAACCTAAATTTGAAGGTTAACATTTAAACAAATGCATAAATAATGTAGGTGAACTGGCTAAGCTTCCGTCCCATTAAACTTCGGCTCCTAAGTGCCTAAATAGCCTGCAGGAATGGGATTCGAGCACTCCAGGAAATTTTACCCAAACCTTAATAGACTGCTCCCCTCCCCTCAGAGCACGCTGCCTGCCGTGCCTTGCGAGTGCTCTTTGTGAGATGGTAACTCTGCAGTGGTAGTAGCATTTAGTATATTATTATTGTCGTTTTAATGCATTTGTTATTGAGGTAGACTTTCCGTCCTTTCTGGTAGGGATTCCGGGCGTAACTGGAAACTGTTTCTGATGGAGAAGGCTTAGAGGACTCTCTAGAAAAATGCGCAGTAAGCGCTCCGAGGAGCGCAGGGAGCCGTGCAGCCTGGCGGGGCACTCTGCGCTGGGAGCGGCGCCACCGGGCTCCTCTCGGGGGACCTCGGGCTCTGCACGGAGGGTCTCTCGGCGGCAGCCTCAGAGCACTGCCCGCGCAATTCTCCGCAGAGGTTTTTGCACACCGTTGTTTCTGCCCGCCTTCACCGGCAGGGCACGGGAAGTTTATTCCGATCCCCCAAAAAAGCGACAGGCGCCGCTGGCTTTCGGCCGCCCCCCGCTCTCC